CCTTTGGATTAGACTAACATAGTTTGAAATCTAATCATGAAATAGCAATAAAACTTATGATTTTAAAGTAATGTAAATCATGAAGGAAAAACAAAGTACTTGGGACTGAATTACTAAAATTTTGGTAAGCACTCAAAATTTGAATAGCAAGAAAGATGCTCTTTCTGGTGCAATACAAACTAATATCCTTCCTTTTATATTTGAAAGCTAGTAATTCAATATTGGAGATGGGACAAAATCCCTCACTCCCCTGAGTGATGGAGAAAAAACAGGCGATGTAGCACATGGTGTTCTAGTATCTAAAGGATGAATCTATGGGATAGAGGAAAGGAAGTCAAGTATGGTTTAAAAGATGTAATAGAGACTAAGTGTATTGATTCCAATGACTAGAATACTGCAACAGAGTGATACAATTTGTTTGCAGAAAAAAAGAGAAGTGAAAAGTATTCACTCATCCAGGATAAAATAAGTAGAGGTATGGACAGAAGTAATACTTCTGTTGATATCTCTAATGCTAGGGAGAACTTGAGAATTATAGGTTTCAAAAGCAACCTACAAATCCTTCAAAGAAGTTATTAAGTTGTAGTGATTTAATTGCCTTTGTATCTGCTAAGCATGGTTCTTCTACGAAATTTCTAAAATGTCCTACTTAGAACTTTCTCTGTCAGAGAATGGTGGGAAGCCTAAGAGAATCAGCTATCCTTGATTTGATACCAGTCTATAAGGAAAAATTAGTTGAGAAAAAATATATTGAGTGAAAATGACCACACAATGGTGGACCTCTTAACTGAGGGTAAAGTTGGGAATTAAACACACATCTGAGATTTTATAAAAATGGATTTTATTAAATTCCTAAGGAATAATATGTAGGAGAATGGCAGGAAAACTGAAAAGGAGCTACAAATGGGAGTTCCTAAAAATGGGATACCAAATCACATTCCCATAAAGAAACAAAATGGAAGACAGAGAGATTTGCCGAGGAAAGATCAGAAAAAAATAAAGTTTAGATTCAAATTCAAGCTTATTATCAAAACCAATATTTTATATAAATCTAAAGTTATAAAATATAAAAAATGAGAATCAAGTATCAAAAGTGTTTAAGTGCAGTTTTAACATATTAAAAAGAATGAAATATTAGGAAATGTTAACAGTAGCATATTAATAACATATAATTTATTGACTATTAAGAGGTAAATTAAGAGCCCCCTCAAATAAAACTTTATAAAACATAATATCCCAGAATCTGAGGTAACAGTGAATTTCTATAAAACAAAAATATATATTTAAAAATCAGTGTTTACTAGGGGGAACGTAAGTATATATTAGTTAAAATTTGAAAGGAATTGGTCTCCATTTCTTTTAATGAAGAAAACAAAATGCCAACAGTAAAAAAGAAAAAAGTAGCCCACTACTGTTTCCCCCCCCCCTTTTTTTCTAGAAAGAATATATATTTTCCATCAGAAAATGGTGAGAATGATTGAAAAGACAGAATTGACATAAGTTTGATAGACACTTGGTTAGGGAATGTTTACTTCAAATATACTTTGGCTGAAATGAATTGCACTGCAGGATTCTGAGGGAACTAATTGATTGCCTGGCTATACTCTTGTGTTTTATCTGTGAGAAATTCTATAGCACTCATGAAGTATCCTATCATCCATGGATAACAAATGTCCCTATTAAAAAAAAAGAGGAAGAAAGAGAGATCTAACTAACTACTGTACAAATGGATCAGTCTGACACTGAACCTGATAAGATTCTGGAGCAGAGCATAAAAAGATCAGTATGGAAACACACTGAAAACATTGTTATTACCAGAAATCAGGAAAAGTTTATCAAAAACAAATCTTGCCAGAAAACTTAGTCAAAAACATTGTTAATGTCCCTTCATAAATCAAGGGAATGTTGGAAATATAACTTGACTTCAGCAAAATATTTGATATTCTCCTTGACATTTTGATTAATAAGCCACGAGATGGTTGACATGATAATTAAATGGCTACATAGCTGGCTCAAAAATCGTATTGAAAGAACTCTCAATAATTATTCCTCATCTACCAGGAGGAGTTATTGAATAGAGTGTTTCAAGGTTCTGTCCTGAGGCCTCTGTTCTTCAATTCTTTTATTAATGATTTGGACAAATGTGAGGGGAATTCTTGTTAAGCTTGCAGAAGGTACAAAACTTTGCAGAAGTGAGATGTCTGCAAAGACAAATAAAATTTCAAGTTGTATCAAAAGAAATTTATATGGAATATGCTGGGCCAGTCAGATCCTATCTCAAGGATTAAATCCAATTGTAGACACCACCAGATAAATTGAAACAGGTTCAGAGAAGAGTAAAAAAGATAATAGGAAAGTAGAGAACAATTCCAATGAATAGAGTTGGAGGAATGAGGTATGCTTAGCTTTGAAAAAGGAGAGAGGGCAGATATTATAGCACTTTTTAAGTATTTGAAGGGGTGTCACCTAGAAAATCAAACTCTGTTCTCTAGTGCTCCTGAGTTTGGGCCATGAAACAATGGATTTAAGTTTACAGGAATTTTTAACAGGATAACCAATTACACAGAAAAAGTAATGGTCTCCTCTTTGCAGAGACCTTCATGTAGAAGGTACAGAGTCAGGGATATTTAGTTTGGGTTTCTGCTCTGAGCTGGGGATTGGACCTAATGGCCAGACTTTACAGCTGTATGAATTTCTAACTCCTCATTTTCTGAGATGTGTTACCTGATTGGTCTACCCAGCTTTTCCTGATAATAGGGCTGCTCATGAAAAACATTTTATTGGGTTAAATTCAGAGTTGCTTCATACATGGGGATTTTATATATCTTGATGACACACATTAAAAAGGATCAAGAATTTATTTAATCTGTTCAGATAGTGAAATAAAAACTTACATAAAATTTGTATCTGATGCCAATGTAGGCCAATAAAATGCACATTGATACATCACTTCTTGCCAGTCAATACTAGCAAAACAGTGCAAGGTGAAAATATTTTGAAGACTTAATTGCATTTACTGTTTTTTGCTAGTTCCAAATGTACTTAAAATATATTTTGTTTGTAGTGTATTTTTGTCAATCTTAAATATTTGGAATGATTGAAATTATGGCGAAAGATTGCATATCGCATTTTTAAATAATCAACTCATCTAATAAAAATATATGGTATGCAGATTGAAAGCAATCTGCTTTAAAGTTTATATTTAATATATGAACATACTATGTTTTATTTAACTATATATTAAATGTTAGAAAATGTTAAACTAATTTAGTTTCTAAATTATTTATTAAATATGTATAGCTATCTTTAAAGCAAATACTAATATTCTACTTTATATTTATAAAAGATCTTTATGATCGGAATCTAAAGCAGACGACTATTAGCATTTGCATTAAATGTTACTTCATGGCCAGCTCTAAGACATATATTTAAGCTTATAGGTGTCATTAAATCTAACAGAATTCCTATAAAAAGTATGTACTGTAAGCATTACATTTATATATATCATGAAGGGATTGCACAGAATTTATGATGCCCATTATAAAAACTTTAAAATGTGATTCCTAAAAGGAGTTTGGGAAACATGATTGTAGATTATTAAACTTTCAAATGAGTGTCTAATAGTCTTCTTCCTTGAATATTAAGGTAAGATATGGTTTAAAAAAATAGAACACAGAACAGGATGAAAAAGAAAGTGGAAGAGATGAATGTTGATGTCAGCCCTAATTAATTGGAAAATCTGTTCTTCCAGTAGACTAGAACAGCCTTTCCCAACATGGCTAAGTTTAAGATGGTTGGAGAATCAGACATTTTAAGATTGACAAGGTTGGGAAACAATGAGCTAGAATAGAAAAACGATTTCATCATTTTGTCTGAAACTTCTGACTTGCTTTGTCTTTTAAGCTACCACATGTACCCCAAAGTCTTCCTCTGATAGCTTCCTTTCTTGTTATTCTCTTCAGCTTTATTGATTTTATCTTCCAATGAAGATATTTGAACGCTGCACTGATGTAAGCTGGACTACAAAACTCTGAACTTTCAACATCGTTCTGCACTTCCCAATATTGATTCCTGAGAACTTCTTCCTATTTTGATTCTCTTTTCCCGCTTTGTAACCAGCTTTGAAACAAAGGCGCTCTACTTGCGATACTTTCTGCTATTGTTTCAGTCCTCTTTCCTCTTCCCAAGTCTAAAGACATCGACTCATAAGCGGAGGGCCCGGCCATTTTCTTTCCTTTGCTTGCCTTGCACTAAAAAGGCTGTGCAAACCCATGGATCTCCCAGCAAGGAAAGGCTTGCAGATTGTCCTGTGTCCCGATCGGGAGAGACGGACTTTGGAAGAACCCAATAGGGCCTACTTTCTTTGCACGAAAGACGCTGCTCTGCGCAGGAAGGACAAGTCTACATGGCTGGCGCTCAGGAAGCACCTTTCAGACAATGGCTACGGGTTGATGAGCCAAAGGAAAGATGGCGTTCCTCCTTGATGGAAGGAAGACAAGGCGCAGGGGCGCCTTGTTTGCTTCCTCTTGGAGGGTCTTGTCTTTGTGTGCCGGCCTCCTAGGGGAGGTAGAGCGCCTCAGGTCGTTTCCCCGAGAGGGAGAGGCTGTCAGGGCGAAGGGTACTTTTGTGCTTGAGTTACACCGTGCATTGTGCTCGAGCCATCCCCGGAGCTTCGCGCGCCCTCACGCACACCAACACCAGCGGGGGGAGGGGAGAGGGAGGAGGGACTCGGTGGGGAAGGCAATGAGCGCAACGGCCTTCTTTACTTTTCTAGAAACTCTCCGCGCAGCGGGTGCCAGCCATCTCCCAGGCCGCCTTTCCCGGCGTAGGGAAACAGTTGAGGACCCCGCCGCCGCGCTACGGAGAAGACGGAAAGGCGAAGGAGGGCAGGCCGCGGCCCCACACACGTCTTCAGGCCTCGGCCTCATGCGCGGCGCAGATCCCTCCGCCGCTCTCACCCCACCCCTCCCTCCATTGCTGAACTCGGCAATTCCCGCAGTCCCCGGATGGAAAGTGTAATGGCCGCCAATAGTGACTCGTCGGAGTATGGAGACGGGCGAGGTAATCGAGACGCCCAACGAGCGGAGCGGTTGGCGGGCGCGGGGGAGGCGCGAGTCCCTGGGCGCCCCGACGGGGAAGGGGGGGACCATCTGCCCCCCGTCGCCGCCGGTTGGAGCGAGAGGGGCTCTTCGCAGGACGGGGCGACCCCGGTACCCGCCCTCTGGCTGGGCTGAGGCATCAAATAGTCCCACGCTCCGCCATCCCCTCCCGCGGCCGCCGTTGGGAAAGTTGGTGGCGCGCCCCCATTTCTGCCCCCGGGAAGCGGGAACGGCTCGGGAAGGGCTTGGCAGCGCGTGGTGGGAGTTTTAGGAAGGCGGCAGTGCGCTGTGACAGCCCGGGCAGCCATGGCCGCGCGGAAGACCGGGCATCAACAACGGCCGACGAACTTTGTGCGCGCGTACGGCCGCCCCTCACTTGGAGGGTGAATCCAGGATTAGGTGTCCTCCATGGGCATCCAACCCTTGCATAGGCTCACCTGCCTCTAGGCATGTGGTCTGGAAAACGCTTGAAAAGCCGTCCTTTTCTTCACATTGGTATCATCCGGACATCTTTGTAGCAACTTGGGGTAGGGTTTTCCTACATCCCTTGGCGTCCTTGTGCTCACCCCATTATGCTGCGAGGTGCTCTTCACCTGCTACATCGTTGACCCCCACTTTTAAAGCGTCCGAGTGGGAGCTAAACACACTTAATCCTCGCAAGGCACTCACTTTCATACACTTGTTTCCAGTAGTTCAAAAGGAACCTCCCCAAGCAGGTGAAGTGGTTGACTATGCACAATATGGCACTTTAGGGTGCATGGACACATATTTGTATCTAAAATGCCTCTTTCCAATTCTAGAAGGACCCAGGGAACTAACTTGGTAACTGTTCTTGCAATTAGCCATTCAGAAATAGAAACACTATTCACTGGCAAGTAAAGTAAACTTTTCTATTAAATACATGCAACCATCATTTCTCTCCTCCATCTTTCAGGCTAGTGAAAGGAACAAGATGTATAGGCAGTCTTATTGATGTCTAATTAGAAGTATATCCCTTGGTGGAGGATTGTACTTTATTGCAGAATAATGTTTTCTTACTCTCACTCACCTAATGAACAAAGAAAGAGGTGGAGAGAAAAAAGAGCTAAGAGAAATAGCAGGCATCTGCTTTTGTCCAGCAATCAGCAGTGAGAGAAAGGAGCAAAGAGATGGAGGAGAGGGAATGTGCAGGTGACAAAACCACGGGAAAATTGAAAAGAGGAGACAAAAAAAAAATCCCTGAAAACTTTGCCACCTGGTGAGTTCTGCATTATGGTGGAGATTATTGTTGACCCTCTCTCAAAAGGAATAATGCTGTTCTTTCTGATGGGAAGGAAAATTTTAAAAATCAATGGTGCTGGTATGAAGCTGTTAGATGAATGTTCCTGGATTCCTGAGTTTAAAATCATGAGGATTACTACAGATGAAAGAAGAAATAAAGGATATTTGATAAAAACTGAGGAATTTTCACTACAAGTTTTAATTTATCAAGGAAATTAAATTTGAAACACATTATCCAAGCCTTCCTGAATTGCATTTTTTGCTTCACCATGTAAACTTACAATAGTAGATGGCTTCAGACTGAATAGTCAGTCTGCTAGTCTTTTGTTTGAGTGATTTATATGTTCCTGTAAAATCACTGAGATTGCAGAGTAATATAAATGTAATAAACAAATAGCATGCGTTTTCTGAGTAGAGAGATCTTTATTTTATATTGGAGCTTTTCAGCATTGCCCTTAATTGTTTGTTAAAAAGAACAAGTCAAAAATCTTGAAAAGCCTGTAAGATGGTGAGGGGTCAGCAATTTAATTGTTGATATTGTCTTATTTTGTTTCAGTTAGTTTTATACCTAAACACCATAATTATTTCTTGCTCAGAAATAGATAATGACTACTAGTGTCATTCCAAAAGCAAGAAGGATGATGTTAATGACTACATCATTACAGGGCAGAATGATGTATAGTAGCGTATCTTGAAAGACATCATTGAATAAATAGACCAAGGAAATTATGTTTATGATTGATTTAATACTTTTATAGCAAAAGAGAGTGATGATTATTTCTGATGTCATTGGGCCAGGTCATCAGGTTCTGGATGTTCTGTCTTGATAATTTATAAGATGCAAGTTTCATAGAGTACTTGTATTACACTGTAAGTCTGCCATTTCAAGCTAGTGTTGTAGGCTTAACCTAATAGGTAGGCTTTTATTTAAAATAATAAAAGCATTCAAAATGGCATTATAAGTAAACTCATTATATGGAAGATGTAGATGGCACAAATAATATTTTGCTATATTTCGAAATTGTAAACTCTCCTTGCTGAATCTTGAAAAGTTTCAAAATACAGGGTATTTTACACTAATAATTCATCAGTTGATTTGAGCACTTCTTTTTCATCAATTATATTACATGTAACATTAAAGTCTTAGATTTCTTCTGCAAAATTAAAGTATTTTTTCTATTAATTAGCTTTTAGATTCTATCTTGTATAAGGATGTCAAGATTGTTCTAATTTTGGAAATTGTTTTAAAGGATACTTTAAAAGTTTTGATTCTTGAGGGTGATCCAATCTTTGCAGTTCATTTTTTGGCCCAGAAAATATTTTTTGTTGTTCATTCTGACACATCCTGTTATGCACACTATTGTAACTTAAATGCACCACTTAGAATATTCTGATTTTAAATAAAATGTTAATTTTACTAAAAGTTTTGACTTTTTAAGGAAGCAATATTATTGTTAGTCATATACAGACTAAAAAGACTAATTAGCGTAACTATTTTATTCAGTGCTAAAAAGACTAGTTAGTGTAACTATTTTCAGTATTCTTGTATCTTTTTTTAACTATAGAGAATGACAACTTTTATAGTAAAATGACATCAGAATTTGTTCCAATTTATTGAGGGCAGACATATCTGAAATGACTCAAATTCTAACTTTTAATACTTTTGTGTTTTAAAAATAATATTTTCTTTATTTTAGGATGTGCTGTACATTGAAAACCTCTTTTGAATCTTGATTTCCAAATTCATCTCTTGAGCAAGCTATTGGAAATGGCATCGTAGTTTTTCTTAAAGAGTAAGTTTTATAACTTGATTACACTTTAAAAAGTTAAAATGGATTTGAGAGATTTAGCTTAAAACATGGGTGTCCAAACTTTTGGCTTGACTGGGCCACATTGAGTGAAGAGGAATTGTCTTGGGCCACATATAAAACATACAATATTATTAACGTATATAAATTACATCATAATGTTAAAAGTTTAAAATCTTGGGCTGCATTACTAGCTGTCCAGGGCCACACGTGACCCATGGGCCACAGATTGAACATGCCTGGCTTAAAGTGTTATGTTTTAATTTTTTATATATGAATTCTGGCTTATAAATCATAGTTTGTTTGCTTATTCATAGTAGGTGACAATATACTGATGACCAGGCAATAAAGCTATAGCATATTCTACAATTTTAGTTCATAAATATTTTTATTAGTTTACTAGACCTGGCATTATTAACTGTTATTTACATGCCATTTAAAAAAGGTGATATTTAATAGTTCCTATCACAAATTGTTTACAGATTAAAAATAAAGAAGACCTGAAGCTCTAAGAGTATATGTGGCCCTTGGAGACTCCGTAGTTGTTACTAAATTGTGATTTTGAATGTGATAGAGCAGTGATGGCGAACCTTTTACAGACTGAGAGCCCAAACTACAACCCAAAACCCACTTATGTATCATCGGGTGCCGGGTGGGTGAGGCCCTTTGGGTGGGCGTGGCTGTGGTGGTAACAGCAGACTGGGTGGGACTAAAACCTTCAATCAATCAATTTCAACTTTGCAAATCTTTTTTTTCCCCGCGAAGTTGAAATTGATTGATTGAACCTTTTTTTATTTTGCACACAGTGGCGGAGGCCTAAAGCGAAAAGGTTTTATAAAACCCAGCTGAAGTCCTAGGACTGGGGTGATGGCACGCGTGCCCACAGAGAGGGCTCTGCGTGCCACAGGTTTGCCACCACAGTGATAGAGGAAGAAGTTATTAAAATAACTAAAGATATTTGTACACTTCTGTTCTAAGATTCCCACAATACAAGTTTTGAGAAAGGATTTCTTGAATGTGCAGCATTGATGAAAAGCAACACTAGGCATAATAAATGGCAAGAGAGCAAGAGAGGAATAGAATAGATAGGAACAAGAATAGAATAGTTTATTTGTCTAGGATGTGAGGGATCTGTAGCTATTTTCTCAGCCCTCCTGACCCCACGTGATCTACAGGTCTTCTATGGAAGGCAGGCTGATTGCAGTTTTTTCTGCAGTCCTAACTATCTGTTGGAATCTTTACCTGTCCTGTTTAGTTGCTGTATCAAACCAGACAGTTATAGAAGTACAAATGTCAGACTGCTCCTTCAGCAGTCTGAACTTTCTGAGTTGACACAAGAAGAAAATTCTTTGTTGTGCCTTTTTAATGATGATTCTAATGTTAGGTGTCTATTTCAAATCCTGGGAGATTATAGAACCCCAAAACTTGAAGGTCTCTACTGTTGATACTGTGCTGTCAAATATAGTAAGAGGTGGTGGAATAAGAGGGTTCATGCTATAAAATCTACTATCATCTCTACAGTTTTAAGCATGTTCAGTTCCAGATTGTTCTGGCTGAACTACAGGGCCAGTTGTTCAACCGCCTGCCTATATGTAGACTCCTGACCATCTCGAATGAGACCAATGACAGTGGTTATCATCGGGAAACTTCAGTACTTTAGCAAGAAGATTCTTAGAGATGCAGCCATTGGTATAGAGAGAAGAACAATGGGGATAGCACACAGCCCTGAGAGATGTCTGTGCTAATTGTCTTATTATTAACCATTAAATAATGGTTTTAAGAAGCAAAATAACTCTGTTTGATTAAGGTAGTGAAGTCAGTGAAGGAAAGTCAGAGGAAGGAAACAAGAATAGTAAGGGGAACAAAATAAGGCATTACTTTTCTTTATCTTAAAACAAGAGTAGTGCTCCTTTCAGAATATTTAGCAAAACATTTAGTGTATTTGTTACATTATATCATGAAAAAAGAGACATGATGATTATCTGGTTAATCAGTTATTTGATTGTTTTAGGATTTTAATTTTTTAAGTTAAAGGAAAAAGGTCAGGGACAATAGATGAAAAAGATATTGGCAGACCTGAACTAGTTTGGAAAAAATGATAGTAGTGGCTAGACAATGACTTTTTGATGTAACTATGTCAAAAGAGGGTATACAATGAGAAGAGCTGACAAGCATGAGGAACAGTTATCTAAAAAAGAATCAATGACTCAGCGAGTGTAGGATGATGACCAGTAAATAAAAATTATTTTTGGTGTCCTGAAACTTAGCCATAAAGGATGAAGCCAGAGAAATCAGAGCATATTAATACCAACACAAGACTAGTTTTTTTTTTTTAAAGAAACAACTTTTATAGCCATATCCTTTTAGCACCTGTATTGTAATGCTTCCTGCCAGTACGATATGCTGTCTAAAATGGGACTCTGGGCATCTGCTTTCCTTTAGAAGTTTTACAAATTAACTTGATATTTTTATTTCAGATATGCCAAGTTAAGAAAATTGTGGAACTCTCGTAGTAATTCAGCTCAGAGTCTTAAAAGACGAAGATTGCAATAATAGTACATTACAAAAAATGCCATCTGAGCAAGAACATTTTTTTTGCATTCAGAAGACCAACTTATTACAAGATGATCAGTCAGATAGACTGTGTGTTTCTACATCTGATATTACTATTGAAAAGTCTACATTTGAACCTACAATTTCAGATATTGTTGCCTATGGTCTAAAAAATGTGAAAATAGAATTGCCCAGGGTAAATATACCAAATGAAATAATGTTTAAACATGAAATTGACAAATATATGAAATTATTTCAGTGTAAAGAAAAACCTGTAGAAGCATCTTTCGTTCAAATGGATATGAATGGGAACAGTGTAAATTATTCTGAGATTTATAGTCCACATAACAAATCAGGATTACATTATGAGGAAGGCTTGAAAACAGCAAAAATACTGAATTTCAGTTGTACAAAATGCCAAAACAACATCAGATATAGCCCAAATGATCTACAGAAACATTTTCAATTGTTACATCAGGGAGAATTGCCATCATACCCCTGTGAAATGTGTAATTTTTCAGCTAATGATTTTCAGTCATTCAACCAACATCGCCGAACGCATCGTAGCACCTTAGTAAAATGTGAAATCTGTAATGATGATCACCGATACACTCTATTGGACTTAACAAAACATTTCACATCTCAACATTGTGTAAATGGTAATTTTCAATGTGAAAAATGTAGATTTTCAACCCAAGATGTAGGCACCTTTGTTCAACATATACATAGGCATAATGAAATGCAGTATAATTGTGAGAAATGCCATCATGTAAGTTTTTCAGAAGAAGAGTTTCAAAAGCATGTTGTTTCACACACTGGCACATTTCCTTTCAGTTGTCAGTATTGTAACTATATGGCATCACGGAAAAACTACCTTTTAAAACATATTATTACCTTACACAAAGACCATCTCTATGCAAAAGATAAAATGAATACAGATGATAATGAAAAAAGGGTGAAGAATTCAACGGGACTAAAACTTATCTTGAAAAGGTACAAAACTGGTGCATCAAGGAAAGCATTGTGGAGACGTAAAAAAATTGCCACTGATGGCTGTAGAACTGAAGAAGAAGATGTTTTCGAAGTCTTGAAAGACAGTCTGCCTAAATCTGAAGAAATAGGTCAATCTGTAAAAGAACTACATGACATTCTTTTAAATGAAAAGCTTGTTTATAGTGGAACAAAATCGTCTCCAGCGATTCAGTACAACAGAGCAAAAGGTGGACTAGGTTCCACACGGGGATTGATGAAAAAAGCAGTTCATGGTCCTACAGTGTTGATGGTTAAAAATAATAGAATATCTGTTCCTGCAAACTACAGTGCTAAATTTTTGGGATTCAAAACGGTGGATGGAAAACAACATATAGTAATAAAATTGCTACCTACAGAAAAACAGAATTTGCCTGGAGGAAATAAGTTTGATGGGATTAAAGATGGTACAACTGAATGCCAAGAAGAGACAGCTGACAACTGCAATTTACCATTAGTTGCTAGATCTCATGAAATTAATAATCAAATGCCTAGGAATAATTCTGTTCACTTGTCAACATCTCCATCGTCTAACCAGTTTTCAGGAAAAATAAAGCAAGAAGGCAATGTATTATGTTGCAATGCATCGCAGAATATTGTACCACCTATTGTAATGGTAGGAAAGTGTGCAAGCCGTTTGCCGGTGAAACCTGAAACATCTTCATTTCCTTGTGATTTGGTGGTCAAGACTAGAAGTCCAGTTTCATGGAAAAATTGTATACCTCAAGACCATCTTCAGGTTTTATCCCCTTCTGGTTCACGCATGCTTCATTATGATCCCATGAAAAAACCTTTTCCTCCAGAATTCAAAGTAGTCAATGGTGAAGTAAACAACAACAATAATAAACACAATAATCTCTGTTGTTCATCAACAGATATTTCCAATCAGGCACCATTGCCTTTCCATAATTATTCTAAAATAGGCATTTTGGAAAAATCAAAAGAACTTACTTACAACAAAATGTATCCTCTGCAAAGCAAGCCTACAAGTGAATCTATGCCTTGTTTTTCACAATCAGCAACAGAATTAAATTTAGACAAAAAATCACTGTTGCCTCTTTGTGGCTTTGTAAATGGTAATAATACTCCAGTATTCTCTGCCAGCCTACCCACTCACAGTATTGACAAACAGTGTTGGTTAGAAAACCATGATGGACAATTGTATTTGAATACTAAGGTAAATCAAATGTTGGAACATGTAGCTGAAAAATCCAAGCAAGAAAATGATTCCAATTGTGTAAATTCATCACTTATGCCTAAAATAACATCAGTTTTCTCCCTTCAAAGCAAGCAGGCATCCACCTATTTGTCACCTGAAATAAACCAGTCATTACAAGAGGTCTTAAAAAGACCAACCATCGTTCAGTCAAATAACTATGTTAAAACCAATTATGACAGATCTTTTTCAAACAAATATACAAATTGTAGGACATTTACACATAATGATTTATCACCTTATTGCAATTTAACTGATTCCTCTGATAAATTTAAGAGAGAACTGAATATGAACAACGCTGCAAGAAATGAAAGTGTATACCTGAAGAACGGAGGACAAATCCCTTTGCCTCTTAGAACAGAAGCAATAAATTCAGCATCAGGGAAAACAAGTGTTGGTGCATTGCTTAAGACTCAGACAGATTCAATCATAACACAACAGTTGGCGAAAGACAAGATGCGCTCTAATAACCATGGCCCTAGTAAAATTTGTCCATTTTTTCCTGAACAGAAAAAAACAGTACTACAGTCAACTCCATCAAGATTTTTTGTACCTTTGCATCTTGCTCGCAAGCAAGGATTACAAGTTATTTCAGGAAGGCCTTCTCCAAAAGTGAGTTCATCAGATGCTCAGGCAACCAGAACTGCATCTTTGCTTTTAAATAAAAGACCTGGAATGATTTTGACCTTTGGTAGGGGTTCCCTTGGAACAGCTGCAAATGCCGCTGAAAATAATTCTCAGGTTTTAGAGAAAATTGCATCTAAAAAGCCAGTATCCTCACACAGGGACCTACAAACAAATGATTCTAGAAGCCTAAGAAATTCTAGTATTAATACATGTAGTGAGGCAGTAAATGCTTCATCCATTGCCATTCCACAAATCGATCAGCACAATACAAATCCAGAGAGCAGACTTTCTTCCGTGAAAATACTAGCTGGATTTCAAGGCAGTAAGGCTGCTTGTGCAAAGTCAGTGAAACAGCCAGAGGTGGGACAGGAACAACCTGTGTATGCACTTTTGCCCAATGGTAGACAAGCAGTTTTTCTTAAATGTATGTCATCGAACAAGTCTCTTGTACAAAACCATAGTGTTTTTCAAGGTCCTACTCATAGTCAAAGTTCTGAACCAAAGAAACATAGAGCAATGCAACAAAAGCTTTTTTTGAAAATTAAGACTTTTCCTGCTGCAGACAAATGCCAACCAGTTAGCAACACTGTCTCATCTTTGCAGTTGAACAGTATGAAGTGTTGCAATAGTCCTGCACTAAATCAGAAAAATATATCTCGCCCTTCTAGCAATGCCTTATACTTATCAGGTAGTTTGATGCCAGCAAATGCTTGTTCAGCAAATGGGAAATCAAAAGATTCTTGTTCCTCTGTAGAACTGGTACATTCCTCTAGAGATGGTAAGACGTGGTCACAAAAGACCCCACTTGATTCAACTCAAAAAGAAACTGCTAACACAGGAAGCAGTTTGGAAAATCAAAGAGCAACAGAGAATATGTCAACACAAATTTCAAAGGTTAAGCATCATTCGAAGCAAAATGATGCTAAAGTTTCTAATGCTACAGTATCACAGAAGAATAAGAATTTGAAACGGAAAACTAAGGATGACTTTCAGGGACCTCCTAGAAAGAAAACATTGCATCGAAAGTGCAAAGAAAAAAATCAACTAGACGTGAATGAATTTGAATCCTTGTTTCAAACCCCTTACAGACCAAGAGCATCAAAAGATACTATAAGGATTTTAAATTTACTTCCTTTTCATTCTAAACAACTTGTCAAATGCCCCCGGAGAAATCAGCCTGTCGTTGTACTAAACCACCCTGATGCTGATGTTCCTGAAGTTGTAAATGTTATGAAAACTATTGCAAAGTTTAAAGGACATGTTCTAAAGGTCTCTTTATCAAAGAGAACAATAGATGCTCTTCTGGAGCCACCATATTATAGCAACAGTTTGTACTTAATTACTAATGAACTGACTCAAAGAAAACACAAAATGCTAAAACCTGTAAGTCCTGTAAAAGAAAGATTTGTTTTAAAATTAACACTGAAGAAGACTAGCAAAAATAATTATCAGATTGTGAAAACTACCTCTGATAATACGCTGAAAACTAAATTTAGCTGCTGGTTTTGTGGGAGGATATTTGACAATCAGGACAATTGGGTAGGGCACGGACAGCGGCATCTGATGGAAGCCACTCGAGACTGGAATTCATTAGAATAACTTATTGAAGAATACAAAATCATGTTCCTCCGATTGAACTATTTTGGCTGATAGCATCCAGGAACACATTACAATTATGTTTTTTAAATCAAGTTTCATGTTAGCACCTAAAATGAATCTGTATAAATTTTAATTGAATAGTTGCTATTGCAGTTTAATTTGTGTTTGTTACTACTATCATGGCATATATTTGTAATTGGAGAATGAATTTCAGGGCTTTTCTGTCTTGTATATATTTAAACATGAAAGTGTGTACATATTTTTGTACTTTGGTTATTTGCTACAAAATCTTGCACAGGAATTGTATTTTCCAGCTCTGTGCATGCACTACTAAAAGGGTTTTCAGCTATCCACAGCTATTGCCGTATTTTTCCTTGATCTTTTAAAGATTTTTTTTTCCAGGGATTGATCACTGTTGTTAGCAAGTGCCTAAAAGATGTGAAGCAGTTTACTTTGTGTCAACTGTATAACCATAGGTCTGTATAGGGCCAGGTCTCCTAACAGTTTCTTTTAAAACAAAGCCATATGTGAATGCTTTAAGCTATATTGCTATGCACATGACACTTGTACTATTTCTGTGCAGTTTGTCTACTTTCTTAGTGAAGTATTTTTCATACAAATCAATAAACCTATTACTGTGTTTAAGCCTGATGAAGATAACTGTTGGAAAAATGTATTCCCTGTTTGTATAACAGTACTGAGAATTCCAAGTGAACATTTGTCATCCCTACAACATTGGTATTAAATTTTATTAAGAATCTGATTCCATAATTTTGCAACCAAATGCATGTAAAAGACAGTGTTATCATTGTGATAATGGTCATGCTAGAAAGCAGAATGTGATTTTCTTTGTTGTTACACTTTGGAAAGAGTTCCTTTTAACGGAATACTATCAGTCGGGATATGAAACATTGATAATAATAATAATAATAATAATAATAATAAGTTGGAAGGGACCTTGGAGGTCATCTAGTCCAACCCCCTGCTCAGGCAGGAAACCCTGTACCATTTCAGACAAATGGCTGTCCAGTTTCTTCTTAAAAACTTCCAGTGTTGGAGCATTCACCGTTTCTGGAGGCAGGTTGTTCCACTGGTTAATTGTTCTGTCAGGAAATTTCTCTTTAGTTCTAGGTTGCTTCTTTCCTTGATTAGTTTCCATCCATTGCTTCTTGTCCTGCCTTCAGGCGCTTTGGAGAATAGCTTGGCCCCCTCTTCTTGTGGCAGCCCCTGAGATATTGGAACACTGCTATCATGTCCCCCCTTGTCCTTCTCTTCATTAAACTAGACAGACCCAATTCCAGCAGCCTTTCCTAATATGCTTTAGCCTCCAGTCCCCTAATCATCTTTGTTGCTCTTCTCTGTATTCTTTCTAGAGTCTCAGCATCTCTTTTTACATCATGTTGACAAAAACTGTTAAAGAGTATTTGAATTTATTGAAAAAATCTGTTGCTTGGACATAGTTTCTGATTTAGACAAAATATTTCTCAGGTTGATTGAAGATTTTATCAAAGTTTTTCCTATTTGGGGGGGGGGATGTAATTGCATAATTAAAACTTCTGATCTGTTTAGGTACTTTTACCTGGGAACAGATCATCTTTCTCTCACTAAGGAAACCATCTTTGCTGTAGTGCAGACCTGCCAAAAGAAAAGTTTTCATCTTTGTATTAGATACACACAGCTTTCAAGTAAGAATAATACACTGAATAATAATGTAGACTGTTCCTTTCTCATGTAAAATAATAGACAAGGGAATAGATATTTCTTAAAATTTTTTACTAAGTTGAGAATTAAGTCAAGTCCAAACAGGTACTGGATGCTGTTAACCTGTATATTGATAGAAATAATATATTAACCCCCCTTAAGAAAGTGAATAATTTAACTAATATTAAAGTGATGTTTTGAAATTAATTACAATTCAGGATTACCTCTTAAAATTTCCCCTGCACGTATTTCTTGTTAATAAATTTGTTACATAGATATATTACTATATAACTGTATTGAATAATTTAAACCTTGAGTAAAGCACAGGTGTTTATTAATGTCAAGGAATTAACTTGCTGGTAAAAAATCTTGGTGGTTTTGTTACTTAAACTGACTTTCCGGGTACTAAACAAGTTAAATATTATTTTAAATAGGAGCAACTGTATCAAGATAATTAAACACCTGTATATCTAGACATCACTTATATTCTGTATTTATAAATACTGTATTTATAAAATAAATAAATTCTGCATTTATAAAAAAAGAAAACATTAGATGGAGGGTTCAACCTTGTATTTAGAATGAGTTTCAACTTGTTTGCAAAATAAAATTTTCTATGTCTGCAGCCAGGCATATAAACATGCACATATGTAAGCTTCTAATGTGACTTAAGCACTTGTACAGCACCTAGCCTTTGCTACAGTACAGCTGCCTGTCATACTGCTTGAATATTTAAAATCAGAATCATTTTGCCCCTAATTTTCTTGTAATACTGATCCTGTTATATGGCACAAAATTAATTTTTTTCTAAATATTTTGGGTAAAATAATAGATTTTTCCAAGTGTTGATACAATTAAGTAGCATTCCTTTTAAAGATTATGTTGTGTTCAGCTGGAATAAATTAAAAATGTGTACTGAGACTAGGAAACAAACCCATTTCTTTACTAATTCTTTAAACAAGGTGACAGAAACGAGTGCCAGATCAATATGTTGCTAATTTAAATATATTTGGACATTAGCTGCAAACCTGTAACAAAAATCAGACATCAGAGCTAAGTGTGTGATATTGTTGAAATGATGATAATATCCATTCAATCATATCCAACTTTTGGCAATTCTATGAGCCAGGTATCTCTACCTCTTCTAATCTTGCAGTACTTTTAGTTGTTCTGTCCTCTGGTGTCAGCTTTCATAGTATCCAGCTACTCTGTTTTGATTTCCTTTTGCCGCTAAATTGTTATTTATGTCAAACTAATTGGAAGGATACCCGTCTTTGCCATCGTTAAAAAGAAATCTGGGTTTATTTATCATTTTACCATCTTCCAGTTAAATCAGAATCCAAATGCAGCATTTTGTAATGTGTTGTTTGGAAAGAAAAAAAAAATGTAAAACACAATTAAAACTTAAGTGAAACTGGATGTAGATAATCCCATGAGTGAAAGTGTAAAACTGTATATTGCTTATTTGGGAAGAAAAAGTAAAATTCTATCTTATTTTTTACATTTAGTATGCCCAGTACTATTACTGTTATTAAATATTTAAGTAATTTTTTTTAAAAAAATGCAAGTAGTCCTCAACTTATGATCATTTGTTTAACTACACTTTGAAGTTATAATGGCCTTGGAAAAAGTTACTTATGACCATCCTTGAAGTTACAAACTTTGCACCACCTCCCATGGTCATGTGATTGTAATTTGGGCACCTGGCAGCTAATTTGCATTTATTACAGTTGTAACATCTTGTGATCACATGATTGTGATTGCTACTTTCCCAGGAGACTTCTGACAAGCTAAGTAAATTGGGGTAACCAGATTTTCTTAATGACTGATTTACTTAAAAGACTATGTTCATAAGATCAGGTCTAGTCATGTAATAACTCACTTAACGATCACATTCACTGAAATTCTGATCCCAATTGCACTCATAAATTGAAGACTATCTGTAAGCATTATTTGACTGAGATACTAAACCATTTAGTCTTTTTTATCAATTGTACAACCACTGCAACAAAAAAACAAATGGTAGAATTTGGAATGCAGCAAGTGCCCTTATTAAAATTAATTGGAAGCCAAGCTAATATGTACACCTAAGATTCTAAAGCTTTAACTGTTCATTTAAAATTTACCAAGAGTCATAAAATAACATCTTGCTGGATGCAGATCACAACTGCATGATGAATCTAGTGGGAAAAAAAAGTCCTGCACGCCCCCCCCAACAAACACTGAATACTTATTTGATACATTCATGTGGCCAAAGTATTTTACAGTCCTGAAACATTTTGCAAAAGCATGTAACAGCTAAGAAATAGTTAAGTATTTACCATGCAAGAATTATAATTTTTTATGGATCATAACTGCATCTTGATAAATTATAATTTTCATATATGTACACTTATATCAGAATTTGACAATAGCTCCAACAAATACAGGTAAAACAAGTACCAGTCCGTTATACTAAATAAACATCCTGATTATTTTAGATGGTTGTCAGAGGAATAAAAATCCTGCTTTTAGCTGGTTATATAATTGTTCTTTGGAATACAGATACTCTAGCTTTGAAAAATACAAAGTTTAACAAGACATGTGTATGCTAGCAGGTATACCCCAAAGGTCCTTGTTCAGGAGGCAACTAGACTTTCCTCCATAGACAGCTAGCAGGTATATTTTAAATACATCTTGTCTGCCACTGAGATTTTTTTGCCTCCAGAGTTTGTAATGTTTTTTTTAAGGTATACCACACATGGGCACTTTATGATTGAAGCAGCATTTCATAAACGAATCCACTAGCTTGGTAACTATCAGCATGGTGCTTGCTGGAAAAAACTGAAGAAAGTTCTTCTAACAATAGTTGTGCATGTTTGTTCAGATGCTCAAATCCTTGGCTAGATGATTTCGTGATGCTCCTTGATGCAGTTACAAAACTCTAGCAATATATTTTAGCCTGGTGGAGTCTTTTGTGTTGTTTTGACTATCAATGAGAACGAGAGAAGTCCGCTGATGATTCTCTATTATTTCTGTCACACTGTCAAAGTGCTGGATTGGGAAAACAAAAATAGTTTATTCAACACAAATCCTGCTGAATGGGTCAACAATCAGAATTTAAATCTCTTTTCCACTCAAATAGCTCTAAACAAAATAATTCTGTTTGAGAAGTCAACATTTATATGTTCTAATTTCAATATTTTCTAGCACTTTTGTACATGTGAATTGTTCCCAATGAAGAGTAGGAGAAGAGTAAGCTAAACTGCAAGTAGTATGTCTCTTAAGGCTAGCCTCATTTTTAGACAAAATTCTAGTACTATAAATGGCTTTATTTTGTCATTACCAAAATGGAATGGTTACATATAGGTGCTAAGGCAATATAATCCATATAGGACTGTTACAGGTAATCTTGGCAGAAGATAATAGGGAAAGTAAGCTCCTTGTTCAACAGTTTATAACATTTTCTGTACATAAGCGCTAATCAAAAAGCTCAAATATGCATACAATTAAATTCTCCCATATGATTCTTACATTATCTTGACCTCTACTCATTGTTTTGTGCAAGAGTGGAGTTACTGCAATCAATAGAACCAAATTTATCAATTACTGGAATTTCATTGATTTCAGGGTGGGCACATTAAGTGCAAGTAAATATGGATTAATCCAAAGTAAATATTTTATTCCAAAACCAGGATAAGAGTTTCTTGGGTATAATTGTAACTTTCAGATTAACACTCAATGATCAACATTAATAAAATGTGAACAATTACTATTCAAAAACTGTTTAAAGAACAACAGATGAATTTATGTAATGCATATGGTTTTAAAAGCAAGATCTGTATTGTTTTTATCCTTTTGGATAAAGGCACTCTTCCAAAATAGTATCCTAGGTGGGTTAAAACTTTAGTCCCAATACATTTTGGAAATTTCCGCAGTTAGCAAAGGTCGTGGTAAGAGCTTGATAAGAAAACAGTCGTTCAAAATAGAAAAAGACAACTATATTTTGTTACAAAGTCCTATTTAAAAGCATGCAACTATAATTTGAAGTTTTAGGGTTGTTTTTTTTAATTAAGTCATGATTTATTTCCCTAACAGAAACTTCCCCCTTTAGAATTGAATAACATCTCTTCGTATAGGAATGGTGCTGACTAAATTCTTCTCCCTTTAAGATTATCTACCACTAAAAGCTTCTAGTAAGAAATCTTTAATAAAAAAACAGAGAGGTTCATAGTTAAAGAGGATGACAAACTGCATTCACATTTTAATTAGACTCCCTTGAGCTAAAATCTCTACCCATAAAGAAGCTAGTTCATTTTTATGATCAACATACAGATCAATATATTTCTAAGCAGTGTAACCAAATTTCCATGCATGTATTTAGAATAAAAATCAAAAATAAATCACCCACCTCCTCACCAGTCTTTTCTCTACCCAAAGCGTATTGCCTTTCAGATTCAATAAATCGGATTGGAATGTTATATACTCTTTTGTTATAAAATACAACTAGCGTATATGGTTGCTTAGAATCTTGTCCAGAACTCTTCCTTACTAAGAAAGACCCATTCTGAAAAAAAGAGTGGAAAGCATGAATTTCAAGGAATAATCAAAAGAAATAGTTCTATTTTCTTAATCCTTTTTTGTTTCTGATATCTTAATCGATAAAAAGAAAATCCCCCCAGTATTGGGCTGGAGTCTTTGGCTTTTACAATCCCACAGCCTACTGCTTGTGTCCACAAAAGATCCATGTATTTTTGTAGATGTACATAAGAGAATTATCTAGGAATATAAACTGTATTCATTCTGCACTGATTTCAGGGATTCTATTGTTACAAAACTTTTTTCTACCTGAGAGAAGAAACAATTCTTTATATTAGAGCTTTAGATCAAGAAACAGTTTTCAGAGTAAAGCAGAGGTTTCAAAATTTTCTTGATTCACAGTGACCTTTTTTACTTTTCTTTTTTTATGGAGCCCTTAGGTCTAAAGAATTATCTAATATTAGGTAGGTAACTAGTCCAAATTTAAAATATTCCAGTGTCCCTGTGAATTTGTTCTAGCAACCTGGACACTAGGATAATTTCTGTAGACCCCAGTTTTATAATTACTAAAACAATCCAGTTTACAACAATCATCTGCCTGTTCCTGAAAGGATATGTAGTCCCAAATATTTTATTGTGCAGCCTACCAATTTAATTGCATTCCCATTCTCTATTTAACTTAGCAGGTCACCTCCTTTAGTCTACCATTTTTTTCCTCTGTACACTTAGCTGAATCTTACCCAACTGCTTTTCTGGTGAAATAATAATATTTCAGTGAATTTTTGCCATAATTAACACTCCTTGTTATTATTAACAAGTGCATAAAGCTGTTTTTTTAATATTCAGAAATAAAGATCTGGTGCTATTCAAATTATATTGTACGAAGAAAATGGAATGCGTATCTTTCTGCCTGTTCGATAATGCTTTTTTTTTTCAGATTCTCTCCTATGCTTCTGAAGAATTGTTAGAAGCTATGAGATCAAGAAATTTTTTTTTACCTTGTTTGATTTATATAATGCATCCTCGGCTATTTTCCGATCACTAGAAGCCATGTACCATGCTTGACCAAGAACGTCAGCATCCTGTAAAGAAAAAGAAAAAGAGGCATTCCTATCTATGTATCCATAAAACCAAAGATTTCCTATGCTTCTTTCTGTAATAAAAAAAATAAAGTTTAATAAATTGTACATCAATCAGGAAGTGTTTCACAGGATGTGAATAATTTATGAATGATGTGGAGATATGTAAATATTAGCCTTTGTATAGATTTAATCTCAAAATCTGTAATGTAAATGGGTGATTTTTATAAACATTTTTGATAGAAAAATATTGAAATGAGTAGTTATTATTTATTTATGAAGAACTTGTGAATTATCCAAACGATAGCTCATTAGATTTTGATCAAAATTTAGTGACATCTAGTCCCTTCCCACTTATTTAAAAAAGCCTTATATCAGAGTTATACCTGTTCTGCTATTGTAGAACCACCTTGAGAGCTATTACTTCGAGGGTGTGTGATGTGGTTTGCAGGTTCTGGAGATCCTGAGAAACAGAATATTATTTGTAGGCTACCATGAATACAGTTGCTATCTATGTAGATTACAAATGAAAGAGCCAGCGATGCAACATTGTCATCCTATTCTTTAGCTGTATTTGCTTTCTATTGCTTAGGATGGGTTATTTCCTTCTAGATCAGTGACAAGGACTAAGTAAGGAAAATTTTGAAGGTCATGGCAATAATTACCAGCAAGATTTCTACCCTGATCAAAATGAATTAACTGGATTTAATTGTAAATTAAATCAAATTTAAGAATACTTACTTGACAAGATTGGTGGCTTCTGAGGTAACGGCCTAGGGGTTGGGGTTGGAGATTAAAAATAAAAAATGGCATTAGATATCATATTGCATTTGCCCAGAATTTGGTGATGTAGGAGAAAAATATTAAAGTATCTAACATTTATTGTAAAGATCTCAAGATTTGTAAAAGCTCCTTACCTGCTGACTGTTAGGAAGATCTATTTAGGGTTCACATAATTTGTTCGTTTGATTTAACTTAGGTATGTGCATTCAGTAGCAAAGTGATTGGAAAGATGCTTTAAATCTGGTGTAGGCATGCTCGCTATATTTTGGTGATTCCTTAAAGAAATTATGCTTTTTTGTTGACTTGCATTGTATTTGTGGTGTCCTAGGAAATATGTGTTTGTATTTGTATGCCAAGCGGGTGCAGTGGCTCAGTGGGTAAAGACACTGAGCTTGTCAGCTGGAAAACTGACAGCCCGGGTTCAAGAACCAAGTCCTGTTACTTGCCCCAGTTCCTGCCCACCTAGCAGTTTGAAAGCAAGCAAATGTGAGTAGATAAATGGGTACCACTTCGGTGGGAAGGAAACAGCATTCTGTAAGTCTTGGTGTATAGTCATGCTGACCATATGACCACGGAAATGTCTTTGGACGACGCTGGCTCCCTTGGCTAAGAAACAGAGATGGGCATTGCCTTCTAGAATCAGATATGACTGATCCTTTTCCTTTATTTATTTATTTATTTATTTATTTATTTACATGGATTTATATGCCGCCCTTCTCCCTATAGGACTCAGGGCGGCTTACAGCATATTAAAACACATAAAACATCGTCCCCCCATAAAAACCTATTAAAAACCAAATATTTTTTTTCGCTGTATAATTAATTAAGATTTAAATTAAAATTGTCCCTATTTAAAAATTC